CCCTCCAGCCTCCTTCCCTTCGCTGGACCTTCTACAAACTGCCTGTGGTCTAGTGATAAAGCTGAACGAGAAGTTAGTAAGAGCAAACCAGGAAGGCAATGGGGGAGAAAGTGCAGAGCTGCTCAAAGAGGAAGGGGCAGAAGCAGGGCAGGTGGCGGCACTTGGGCCACCAGGTCTCTGGGTTCAAATAAAGGCAGGCATTTTTTGGCCACTTACTGATGGACAAGGTCTTTAGTTGGAACTTGGGAGAAGACAAAATGCTAAGGGTAGCAAGTTCCAGTTTGTGAAAATGTAGCTACATGAGCAATCACCAAAGAATGGAAAAGCTCGGGCTTTGTCTAGAAAACATAAGCAGTCACGACTGAAGTCAGATGGAAACAAAGGTAAGTCCTGGCAGATAAGACATGGGAGCTGAAGCTAGGCTGGGCATGACTTAGACACGCTAGGGAAGAATCCGAACTTCATTCTGTTTGCAACAGGACGTGGTACCACACTACAATCCAGTACAAAACAGTGGGATGTGATAAAAGTTCTGTTCTACAGCGACCCCAAGGGAGGAGAATGAAGATTCAGGAAGACTTGTAAAGAGATCCCTGCAACAACTTAGGAGAAAGGGTACCAACAGCGACTCACAAGCTATTTTAAAATGCGGGCAGACAAGACAGGCACTACAGAAAAGCAATGGACAGCATCTGGCTATTAGATGGAAGAGTAGGAAGCATCAAGGATGACCGAGGTTTTTAAAAGTTTTATTAACACAAAAGAAACTGGAGAGAAAGGAGTAAAGATGACAGATGACATGTGCAGTTACTGGGAAGAAACCAGCATGAACAGACCCCGAAGAGGGCAGCAATCTTTAAGCTCTTACAAGTAGGAATTTGCAATTCCTAAATGTGTTTCCCAAACAAAAGCACCTCTAGAAACAATTTTGCATTCCTAAATCCAATGTGACATTCCAAGATACAGACATCACTCCCATTTTACTGGGGGAGGAACGGCAAGAAACTTGCCTACTATTGCCCCAAAGTACGATGAGAGTGGAAATAAAGATATCCAGGCCCCTTAGACATTTTGTTCAGATTCTCACTGTTTCTTTCAGCTTCAGTTCACAAGCATCACTGGTAAAGCCACAAATTTGTTATAGGATATTTTAAGCAAGAAAGAAAACATGAAAATTAGCTGGAATCTATGTCCCAACCCTGTCTTCCTCTAATATAGAAGTGCTGATGCTGCCCTCTTCTTGAACCTTCAGTCCCTGAGGATTTTCCTTTGCAAAGCTCCACTCTTTTTTTTTTTCTTTTTTTCCTTTTTAAAGATTTATTTATACAGAACTGGGGTACGGGTCAGAGGTGCAGTGAGAGGCTTCACCAGAGACAGAGTGGGGAGAAGAAGCGGCAGATCAACGAAGTACACTGCTGAGGGGAGCAGCGGGCGACACAGGAGAGATCTGCTGCACCATGTGGGTCAACTCCAGGGCCCGGGATCAAACTCACGCTGAAGTGGCTGCAGCCAGCTTGCAATGCTGCATCCTAACCCGTTGTGCCACCAGGAAGGGCCCGTGAAGCTCCACTTCTAACAGAAGGTCTGTGGATCAACTTTCCTGCTCTAGTCTACTACAGAATCTCAAAACAATCTGTTTTCAGATGCACAGGAAAGTCTTCTGGGCTTCTCCTGTACTAGAAACAAAATCAAGGTTAACTGGGACAAAGGAGGAAAATGGAGTGCAGAATAACAAAAGGAGGGGGTGAATAAAGACAGTTCTCTTTTGTTTAAAGAAACAAGTGTTCTGAATTAATTTGCTTAAGAGCCTCTGGAGCTTCCAACAAAGGTGGAGATGACAGGTGGTATTTCTACCTCCAGGATAAACGGCTAGGAAAGTTCATTTTCTCCATGGTAAGACATCTGACTTATTAACGGGGACCGAGCAAGGTTCCAGAGCTTCAGGGAGGGAGGAAGGGAAGGAGGGTAAAGAGGGTGAGAGGGATGAGGACCAAGCCACCCAGGGGCTATTTTCCTACATTCTCTCTGGTTTCTATCCTAGTAATCTAGGTTACCCTTTTTGCTCCCTGGGTTATAAATAGCATTCATTTCCTTTCTCAAGCCAGACTTTAATGCTTTGTTTCCTGGGTCCAGGGGAAAAAAATACTCAGAGCTCATCTCATTTTAAATTTGAGTAGCTGCAAAGCTGGCTCACTTGAATCAACCATGGACTAAGAAAACCACTTCAAAAGACCAAAACGTGTTGCCATTATCATTTTGTTAAATTAGCCCAGAATAGCATTAGCAGGACCTCTGAGTAACTGTTTCCTTTGTAGTGCAAAGCTCAGAATCCTCCAGAACAGAGCTCCAGGACTTTGCATGTGCCCAGGATGAAATGCAGGACAATACTTCACAAGATGACTGGCACCCAGGCAGGATCACCAAAGGGTTTTCTGGATAACAGCACTGTCAGTTGCTAAGCAAGGTAGGTAAGAAAAGGCTACACATGAAAAAGAGCATTTAAATAAGTGAGATTGCCGAAAAGCCCCTACCCATAGCATCTATTTGTCTGAGGCCCATGCAAGGTCTAAGCAGCTGCAGAAGACAAAGAATAGGATGAATAGGCTGCCACTCAACCGGAAGCATTACATGCCACTTCAACATCACAACTTAGTTCAAAGACACCAGTCTGAACCTGAAGACATGGGCCCCAATCTAAAATGAACTTCACATTTGTACCATAATGCTTACCATGGTTGACATTCCTGAATCCAGCAGAGATAAAACAAAGAAAGCAATGGACATTTTGTAGAGAACTATCAAAGCATACTTCTTCACCAAGGCAAAGGCAAGAAGACCAAATCACCTTGGCTCACCAAATACCAAGTCCTGCTAGACCAAACCTACACACACTTACCTCTAGTTATGGGCCCTCAGATACTTCTCTATCAAACTGTTAGTTTTGGGGAGCGCAGTTTCTCCCCAAATGCACTGCAAACAGCACTTTTAAGCTGTCTGTTTTGCCTTGGGTTGGCTTCCCAGGCTATTGGGAAGTGGGTATCTGATCATATGCACCTAGAAAGACACAAATCTACTACCTGTTTTCCTTGGGGCCTGGAATATCCACACCATCCAGATGAGATCCTAATGTTCATCTTACCTGTTGTAGATGTGACTCTTCTCTGAGATCAGAGCAACTCTGGAAACAAAGGTTACCTAAACAGAACTGGGGACTTGGTGCCGTTTCTTAACATGAGCAACTGAGCAATTAGCAGTATAACCCCACTTAGTACAGGGGAAAAAATTTAACTAAAAATGAAACCGAAATCTTGGTAACGACTCCTTACCAGCATGTGGCCAATTTTTGTGTTTTGAAAGGAAAACAAAGACTGAGAGGTCGCTGCATATTTATCACCCAAGGGCAGACTGACTTCAACAGGTCTCCTCCTAAGATACTGAGCACTCCCACAGCCTGGGCTGGCATGCTGGCTGAGAGGACAGAACCCCCCCACTTCTGTTCTTCACCTGTGGTCTCGGATTCTGACAGCCTCTTTCAAAGGGGGAAGTACCTAGCCCAGAATGCCATGGGAATGGAAGCAACAGCTGTCTCACGATTAGCACTTCAGCTGAGCTGAGATAAGCACATGAGAGATGTAAACTATCAAAAAGAAAAAAAAGAAAGATGCAAACTAGCAGCTCCGTCAGGTGCTTTACCCACAAAGACCAACCACATCTGCGGTGGCTGCAATAAAGGGAAAGCACAAGCACTGAGGAAGTCCTCTGCTCCTCTCGTTTCCTCTCATTTTACAAACTTGTGCAACACGCTATTCCCCACCCCTCATAGTTTCCATGCCTTGTAAGAGCAAGTGGAGTGCTGGCGCAAACTTTACATAGCTACATAACACACTCTTCATCGCCCTTGAGTAAAGGGGCACACGTAGATACTAGTGGTCATGGCCAAGCTAGCAGGAAACTGTAGATACACCCAGGAAGAAAGGGGGGGAAACAAAAACAACAATAACAACAAAGAAAAAAAAAAAAAAACACCAGGGAGTCCCTGCAGAAAACTGAGGAGCTGGACAGAGAATACAGGTCTGCAGGTCCTCCCCAAGAACCAGACTGACCCAAATTTCTGCCCCGGGCCTCTCCATCTCCCAAAGACAACCCCTAGCTCAACAATTGGCCTTTTGTGCTGCACAATACTATCCACCAAGGGCTGGGTGGAAAAACACCTAGTCCCTTTCACCTGTAACCGCATCCTGGCCTCCCGTCCCCGAGCAGCGGCTCTCCTGGACTCCAGGTCTGCACACAGACCACTCTCTATTCGAGGTTGAAGACGAGGAGAGGACCAGACAACCCCAACACACACCCCATTCGTCATCCCAGAGAAGACTTTGTTGTGGACTAAAGAAACTACCGAAGGGCAGGATGGAGACACGGAGTTTCAGGGAGGGCGAGGGGCCGGCCCCAAGTCACACAGAGAGTCAGGGACGGAACCTGACTACAATCCCAGCCTCGGGTTCCCTGAGTACTCCGCCTTCCCCCATCACGCCCGCCGAAGAATAACTAACATTCCCACAGAACATCAGCCCCAGAGTCCCCGCCTCCTAGGGGCTAGGACCTTGATCTCTGCCCCGTGCGTCCACCCGCCAAACCACAGCCCCTGCCCACCCGAGAGTCGGACCCGCTGCCTGTCCCAGCCCAGACCCGAAACCCCAGCCCCCCACCGCCCCTCAACCCTCCCGGACCTGCAGAGTCGCGTTCCCGAGAGCCAGCCGCGGCGGACATTTCCAGCCAGCTTCCTCAAGCTCTTCATCACACCGCCCGCGACGCCCCGCCCGCTCCCAGAGGAGCCCGCCCCCCGCGTGCCACCTGCACCAATCGAAGGCAGGTATGCTTCTTAGCCCCGCCCCTAACCAGAACGGATACTGCCCCCTGCAGCTGAGCCTCCTCCAATCCCCACGGCTCTTTCCGAGACCGACACTCGTCTCGGCCAATTCTCGCGCGCCCCGGACAGGTACCTGGGGCCGAGTTCCAACCGCGCGGCTTGATACACCTGTATGGAGACAGCCACAGGAATTCCGGATCAGGGGTCTTCGGGTCGAAACCTATGGTAGAAACACGGAGCAGACACTAAGCCCGGGCTTGAAGAACCAGTTCCATCTTTGTATCATCATCGTATGACCGTGAGCAAACTGTTCAGTCTCCAAGCCCGTTTTCCTCTCCCACAGGGTGGGTCTGAGATTAAATGCAATAAAGAATGTGAGAAAAGACGTGCCCTTCCAAGGTAGACCCGCACCACTCCTCCGAACTGCTGGTAACTGTGCCAAGGGCTGTGCTTCATATGTATATTATCTCCTTATTTTCATCACAAACTTTAGGAGGCAACTGAGTTCTGAGAGGACAAGTGGAAGGTGACAGTGTGGTGAGGGGCAGAGTCAGATACACGTCAGTAGGGACAAAGTAGATTAAGAACTTTATATCCTTCATCAGCAACTTGCAAGACACTTCAAATAAGCACAAGTAAAAGCCTTGTGAAATTTATCTTTTTTTTTTTTTAAAGATTTATTTATTTGTGCATACAGAACTGGGGTACAGGCCAGAGGCTCAGGGGCAGCGAGAGGCTTCACCAGAGACAGAGTGGGGAACAGAACAGGCAGATCGACGAAGTACACTGCTGAGGGGAGCAGCGGGCGGGTCAGGAGAGGTCTGCCACGCCATGTGGTCACCTCCGGGGCAGGCGGGGATCGAACTCATGCGGAAGTGGCTTTAGCTTCTTAGTGCTGTGCTTTAACCCGCTGCGCCACCAGGGAGGGCCGTGAAATTGATCTTTAAGACACCCCCACCCCTTTCCCCTCAACTAGATCACCACTCCTCCCTCCTAAAAATTCTTGAGTCTCTTCTACCTCTCACTCAAACCCAGGTCTGATTCCCAAACACTTGCTGTCAACACCTATGCGGCCTGCTCCTCTTGCCTGCATGAACCAAACTGAATTGGCCCCGCTGGCTCTCATGAGAGAGCTGGGTCCCAGGCCTGCCCATGGCACTGTCAGATAAAGCTTTTCAGTTATGTTCAGCATTTCCATACTGTAAGCGCATGCACTGCTACATGTGATCCTCAGAATTCCTGGAATAGTAGTTAAGGCACGTTCATATTTTCATTTAATAGAGAGAATAAAGCCAAGACCTGATTTCTCAGAGAGTTCCCTTCCCTTAGAGACTGAAGTGCATCTAAGAAGTAGCACAGCCAGCCTCTAAATCTCTGGGCAACATGGGCTCCAGCATTAGAACCTAAAATCCCAAATGTGCTTCTGTTATTTTCCTTGATAAGTGACCTTGGGTAAGTTACTTACCTTTCCTGCATCAACTTATTCACCTATAAAACAAGCTACCTGTCTTCTAGTGTTGCTCCAAACACTGAATAGAACATGGTTGTTGTGGTGCCTCGATGTCTAGAAAAGTGGTTTGTACTTCACAGGTGCTCCATTAGTGGTGACTAATTTTTTAACTATGGTCTTTTCTCCTTTTAAAAATTTTCTTATTGGGCCCTCCATGGGGGCACAACGGGTTAAAGCACAGCACTGTGTTCGAAGCTAGCCTCAGCTGCTTTGAGCTGGATCCCTGACCCTGGCGGTGACCCACATGGCGTGGCAGACCTCTCCTGTCTCACTGGCTGCTCCCCTCAGCAGTGTACTTTGTTGATCTGCCTATTGTGCTCCCCACTCTGTCTCTGGTGAACCCTTTCACCACACCTGCACTTCTGGCCTGTTCCCCAGTTCTGTATACACAAAT